AAAAGGCTGAGAAAGGCCCAGACTTTTGGGTAGGCTTATCAACCCTCTAATTGTCTCTTCCCAGCCCTAATATGATGTACTCTTGTCCACTATTACCTAAAGACTATCTATAGGACTGGACTTAGGACAGTGGGTAGGAGCAGGGATATGTTACCTGTTGGAAAAGACCTCAGATTTAACTCAGTTTTACCTAAGTAGTATTATAAAAGCGGAAGGTAAGATCTTTATGTTTTGTCATGCAAAAAGCACCATGCAATCATGGTGTGGCAGGACCATAAAATAGTTGCTTTCAGCTCTAACACTCGATTTATATTACTGTTGCATGACTAAGAGGAGAAAAAAAAGAGAGAGCTGAAATTTTCATTGCATGAAGCCAAATTCATCTGAGTTAATGAGAAGTTTATAGCCTACCAGTTCTCTAGCCTACGGTGGTGGTGGTGGTGGTGGGGGGGGTTAGCTCTGATAGTCTTGGCTTTCACCTCCTGCATCTTTTTCGACTCTTTCCTGCCATGTCTTGATGATTGTAGATGTTATTAGCCAGGCGGTAGTATCTACCGCAGTAGGCTACCAGCAAACCCTAACCCCTTTTATCTGTGGTCTCGCCTTTTTGTTGCCCGCAAGGGATTTTGTGCGACACTCAAACCACACTCTGTCATAAGTAAGCAACTCCTTTTATTGTCCTTTGAGTGTTGTTACACTCTTGACCATTACCAAAAAAAAGTTGTTTTTTTTTTTTGAGAGACGCCTTTGAAGTGTTCTTATCTTCGTTGATGCCCTGTTCTGTCCATCTACCTTTCAAAGCTGAACCAGGGATTGCCTTGAAATCTCTGCCTTAAACTTTCAGGTAAGTAAAAGAAAATGTTTTTGTTTTGTTTTGTCCACAAGCCCTTGCTGGGGATAGTCAACAACTAAAAATCCAAAAATCAAAGGTAAGGTTTCCTTATGTTTTCATCATACTCCTCTCTCTATTCTCTCACTGTCTTGTTATTTTTTTTTCCAGAGGATCCACTCCTGTCTCCATTTCTCGCAGCTTCTCTGCTTCCCGTCCTGGGTGATCCTTCCCTTGCTCAGGTTACACTTGCCGCTTTTCTTTGTCCAGCCTTCTCTCTTTTGCTGGACCAATGTCCCAGCTCGCTCTGTCCCCGCAGTCTTCTTCTCGTTCTTCCGCTTTGAGGAGACTCCACCCCTTTTTCCTTGCTTCTTCCTGCTACGCAGCTCTCTCCCATGGCTCCTTTATAAGCAGAGAGCAGCTGCTTTTAAAAAGCTGCTCTCCTGGCATGATTGATTTCCCCATGCCGGTATTTCTTCACACCTACCAGTCCTCTTTTCTCCCCACAGTCAGTAGTTTTAGCTATACATGACCCTGAATATAGAATTATTTTTCAGATGGAAATTGTGGAATCCAACAATAATTGTGAAAATAATTAAACCAGTTGCAAAAATGTTCATTGTAAAAGAATAGGCACTTTTTTTTTGGTATGAGGTAAGAAGACTCTGCACTTGTGTAGCCCAGTCACCTGATGAATAACCTTGGGGAAAAAAATAATTCCTTTTTTTTTTGGAGCATGCAGCTTTTATAGATTTGTTCACAAATCAAAAAGTGAACAATTTTGATTTTATCTTTTAGCACTATTACTGTCAAAATGCACCATTTCATATTTTACTAATATATATTCCTGGAACATGCAATATAAGTCCTTCCATACTTGGATGATGAATAACATAGAAATGCCAATATATAGAGTAGTTTTATATTCTAATAATCTACTCATGGAGTTTTAAATCCTCTCTCCCTTATAAGCTAAAAGTTCATTAATCAAATCACCCAATTAATTCACTGCTCTAGATCATGTCACTGCTAAAGATGAAAGCTAAGCTTGAACTGCAAGCTTTTTTTCACTGTGTTTTTAAAATGAAAATATTCAGCAAGATTCCCCTTGTCATCAAAAGCAGAAATATCTGCCAAAGCCATGAGTGGCTTGATACCCACATTCAGCCAGAGGAGAGCGAGATGCTCATCAGATGGGCGTTATATTGGTCCCCCTGCAATAAACAGAAATTATTGTAGTTTTCATGGTTGGTCATGGTAAGTGGCTGCCAGTATTAAATGTCCACAATAAATAAAAAAGTAATAAAAATTCTTCTAGCACATACATTTTATATTAGTAAAATATGAAATGGTGCATTTTGACAATAACAGTGCTAAAAGATAAAAAGTAAAATCAAAATTGTTCACTTTTTTCTATAAAAGCTGCACGCACACATAGACCTATACTTAATATGCATTTACAGTAATATTAAACAATGGAGCATAAATTCAATAGCACACACTTTGAGTGTAGTTCATAACTACTATCTTTAATACAGAGCAAATATTTAGAACAGATTGTTGTTTAAGACTACATTGTAATCTTTTGATAAAGAACACAAAGTAATCTGCCCTGTGGTGTCTATCTCTCTTCTGGGATGCTGCAGAATACTAAAAATCATGCATCTTCCAGGTTTAAGGAATTCTGTAGGTTCAAGGCATGTTTCTCTGTAGGGTAAGATACCGGTAGCTCATTATTAATCCTTTTTAGCGGCATTTCAGAGGTTTTATTTGATGATCTGTTTGCAATTAGACCCATATGCTCATTCCTAATACCCTTTCCCTAAAGTATGAATGGAACCAATCTACTAAAGCCCTTGTGGAACTGCTTAAAGAAAGGAGAGGGATTCTTCTGAGCATCCAAGGCAGGGTTCCTTCTGTCACTTTCCACCACTCCCATTTGTTGACACTGAAGCAGATATCCATGACTACCTGTAGGAATTCTGCTGGCATATAATGAAGCTACAGTTACAACCTTAACTGTACATAATCAAAATCTTTGTGACGCATGAGGGAGATAGTTTATGATGTGACAAGTATTGCAGAAATGAATATTTATGCACTTTTAGGATAAATATTGGCATAGTAAGGGAAATATTATATAGTGATGAGGGCATATAAGGTAGCATAAACATTTACAAAGACTGTGTGGCAAATTTCCTGAAGTATATTTCCTCAATTTTAATTTCTCACATCGTATTTTGAAAAAAAGCTACGTGGTAAAGCTGACCAGCTTTGGCAGCCAAACTCCATTATAAGTTTTCAAAACATCTTAGGTTCAGGAAATTCTGGGTTGGGTTGTTTTAAGACACTGTATTAACAGTGCTTTGGAGAATTTCAGAACATTGATTTAAGCAGAAGGAAAACTAGACTCCAAATGATCATAAGGAGCGCCCAGGGAAAAACAGGATAGAGCACAAAAAAATGATCTTGTTCTTTGCATTTTGTTAAAGTGAACCAACATTAAATGAACTTCTTTCCAAGTTAGGTCATTTAATCTTGGTTTAAGTTAAACCATATATTTCTTCTTGTAGTATTTGAGAATTATTTTCCAGGCCGAAGTATAGGGTGCCAACATATTTGGTATTTATGCTGAGCGGCAGCAACATGTTCACACCTAAATATCTTTCAGTACTTGTCAAAGATTTCAGAAGGCTGGCCAGACAAAATTACAACTTGGTAATGCTCTTAAACCACTGTGAGGAGGAGCACCCTCCTCCCCGACAGAAATACAGGAAGGTGAAAAATGTGGAGCGTATGCTGCTGTCACTCATAAATGAGGGCTTAATCCTCAATTGGTATAAATCAGCATAACTCCAGGCTCTTCATTTCAATTGAACTATGCTGATTTATGAGATAAAGACCTAGGTTTAAAACAAAAAAAATGTTTCTTGCATTGTGGAATGCTTATTGCTGTCCTGTGCAGATCGGCTGGAAAAAAATCCCCAGGCCATAATCTAGGTTTGTATAACCCAAACTCAGTCAGTGCACACTAACCGAGGACCTGACACTCCCAATTTTAATTGAAACAGGCCTGTATGCATATCTCCTTTCTCCTCTGTCCCGAACAACTGTTCCAGAAAGTGAAGAATGCTTCATTTTCCTCTCTCCAAAGAAATCATTTAAAGAAATCTATTTAGAAAAACCCTACCCCTATAACAAAATGAAAATCCTAGGAATGCTGTTTAAGTCAATTTAAAATATTTTATAATAAGCATTAGTGCAATATTAACCTCATACACTGTTGAAGACGTTGAAGACTGAAATAATTTTTCACAAAGAATATTATTAGCATTCAGCAAGAAAAATAATTTAGTTTTTAGATGGCTTTGTGAGATTTACTTGCTTTTATTTAGCTTGTTTTTCCTTTTCCTCATCTTCCTCTTAATACATTTTAGGCATAACTACATTTCAAATATATCTGAATTTTGTATCTTCATAAGATAACTTCTTTGCAAGTCGATTGAATTTTTTCCTGAATTTTCTAATGTTGATATATTTTGCTAATCAAACTGCACAAAACTTCTTTCAAATATATTTTTATTTTATAATTAGGTTGGTTCCATTGTTCACACTATGCCTTTCACTGCATATAAAACTGAGTGATCTGTTTCTATTTAGTTTTGCTTTCTGGTTCTTGTATGTTAGGACAGAGGGTCTGTGTTTGGGTGGTACACTCTGTAAGGGAATATTTATAATTAAAAATATCTTTACAATGACATAATTAAAAAAACTCCAACAACATTTCTTCTGCAAAGGGGTCTTGTTAAAGAATAAAGAAGATTACAAAACACATTCACTGTACATGGAAATATAGTCTTAAATCTATCTGATGACAAAATATTTGACTATGGAAACCTTTTAGTCACAGCAGTTTCTTTCATTGCAGACATTCTTATAAGATCAGCCACTAGAATAATAAGTCATGCTGTGAACAGTAATTCACAGTGCTGCTCCTTATATTTGTTTAAACACTGTGTCCCTGAAAGCACTGAGAGCTGGGACAATAGCATGGCCACATACTTATGCAAGGGTTTGCTATGAAAGAAAATAAATAGGTTTTCTTTTTCTCATTAGAGAAGCCTTTACAGAATGCCTTCCCTTTAGCAAACATCACTTGCAGGCTACTTACCTGAAAGTTGCCAAAGCAGCTTCCTCCGGGTAAGGTGACATAACTCACAAATGGAGGACCGGGAGAGTTCAGGGACTCGTATACCACTGTGCCTTCACTTGGAAATACAGCTTTCTGCTTCTGTTTACTCTCCCAGAATTCCTGCAGTATTACCACAACGTTCACTATAAAAACCCCAAAAACAAACAAACAGAAATATATTGGATAGAGTACATGCATTATATTTTGACTTGTAATTCTTTTTGCCAGGAAACGTCTAAAGATAGACTGGTGAGTTGGAGATTCAATCAAAGCCATCATCTGCATAACAACCCCTATCCTCTCATGATCCCAACGCCTTTCAACTCTGCCTGGGTCTGTACTGGATGGGAAACCTCCAAAGAACATAAGGTACTTCAGGAATTAAGGCTGATCATGCACTGCATGGCTTTCTTCCCTCAAGTCAAGGGTCCAATATGATATTACTATGAGCTTGAATGTCTACACAAGACCCTCTGCTGCTATACTTATGTTGGGTTAGTTATGATAGTAGAGCCCATGGGGATAGATGCAGTGTATACCTATAAAAGATTTTCTGCGGCTGTAGCAAAGCTGTGTCACGCTAGTGGTATTGTCGGCATAGTTTGTCAGCAGTAAGGTGTGATCTTTTCATACCCCTAACCAATTGTTATTCTGGCCAAACTTTGTGGTATACCTCAGGCTGCTTTCCTCTGTTTCAAAAGAGAGGCAAGCTCTTACATTTTTTTAAAACCTGTCACCAGGATAATTATTGTTGCTGCACTCAACAGCACAGCAGAAAGTGGGTAGATGTTGATGGTGTGTGAAGTGATGGGTTTGCATCATGCTTTGTGAACTGGTCAGGGTGGAAAATAATGTATATTATGGCAGTAATAGCAGCAAGGTACCAGGACCATGAAAGCACTGAAAATCAGAAGTACAAACTAGGATCACTTATAGTTATTCCTGCACTGAGAAGCTTAGTGGGGGTTAGGATTACAAAGGCTCCTAACAGACTTAGGGTCTCTGTTCAAACTGAAAATGAATAGGAGTTGTGTGCATAATTCCGTTAAAGACCCTTTGAGAAAACCAGCCAGAAAAATTACGTCTGATATTTCCTGGCACTTAGTTATCACTGTAGGTACAAATACCTTTTTAAATACTGTTGGAGATATTGCTAACTCTTATTTTAGGTTTTGCTTCTTTCAAATATGACAATCTACTGCTTTCAAGAACAGTCTTACATGAACTCTGTAAAAGTGCAAGATGCTATCAGTACTAATCCCTTTCCTAGGGTTATTTGTCTGAGAAATATAAAGCATATGAAAAATAAGAGGCCATGTTGAACCTTCAGAATGGTATAGATGAAGAAAGAAATCTTTTTGAATAAACTGACATGGAATAAGAACCTGAGGTTTGGCATAAACTGCGTAATTTCTGTACCACAGAAACTGACTTCTACTTTTCTAACCCCTGGCAGACATTAATTTAATTGCATGATTGGAACTGAGGAGTTTTATCCTGGATCCCAAAAACTCTGTTTCCTAACAAATCTGGCATGGCAGGATGTGTAAGTGTTTGGATACAGGATAAAATTCCTCAGATCCATTGCCCTTCTGCCAGATTTGGGAGGTCCCCAATTCCCAGCTGGCATGTGCCGGGGCATGGGTAGCTGGGGATCAGTGAACTCTATGATCCCCAGTTGCACATGTCCTGCACCTTGAAACAACTTGCAGTTGGTTGCATATCTGGACAGGCACTTGGAGATTAGGTTCCTGCACCACAGACCTGTCAACCTGGCCTCAGGCTATACAGTGTGATGGACTTTCCCCTTGCAGGGTCATTTCATAGTTTCATAGTTGTTAGGGGCTGGAAGGGACCTTACAGATCATTGGGTCCAGCCATTCTGCACTTGGACAGGAAAGACTGCTGGGGTCTTTAAAGCCACATGGGGGCATTTAAATTTGGCCTTGGGAACATCTTTGTAGCTGGTTTGGCATTTTATTGCATGCTAAATTGGATGAACATATGGTATGCTATACATTACCTTACAAGTAACATGTTAATTGTGCAGTAAATGCAATGTCTGCCAGGGTCTTAACTTACAGTTTTATTGCCCTCTCAAGACCTCAAGAAATTATGAAATACTTATTTAGTGACATATCCTATCTGTTGTTGACTTCTGGATTTCAGTACAACAATTCTGAGAAGTCGTATAACTAGCTGAAATTGGTGACCTGTTACAAGGGTGATTATCTTCTTTTCAGCTTGCTTCAATTTGAAGTGATAATGAATTTGAGCAGAAAATTAAATTTTTAGACTGGACAGCTGCTAACATAACAGACCAAAGAACCTACTACAGTCTAGAATCAAAGAAGACAAGGTTCTTTGGGTAAAAGTGATATCTTTTATTAGACCAACTAAATAGTTGGAAAAATTGTTCTTTACAAGTTTTCAGGCACAAACACCCTTCTTCAGGCATATGGGGAGTCTGTTGGTGTGTGTGTACTCTCCTGGATGGAATAGAAGGTTAAGCCAATATGCAAAATGCAGGTCTGTAAAAATCCAAATGTGTGGCAGGAAAGATCAGAGGAGATGGGAGTTCATAGGTGAGAGACAGGTGGAGGGCAGGGAGGGCAGAAAGAAGGGAATGTTGACCTGGTGATAAAATGTAGCTGGTAAAATGTAGAGAAGTTACGTGGGGTTATTGGATGGCAGGCAGGTTATAATGTACCATATATCCAATGTTTATATTTAGTCAATAATTTTATGTATCCTATAGATTTATGAAGTGAAGTTTGTTGGCTCATCTATGAAAGGTATTTTGTAAATTCCCTTTGAGGATTAGATCTGAGAGATTGGAGGGAGAGTGGTTGTCTTATGAGAAATGTGCACCCACATTTCTAACAAGTGCACCCACATTTCATTCTGGTATGCAGTTGTTGTTGGGTTTCTCTTACATATTTTCCATTTGGGCATATACGTAGGAGAAACCCAACAACAACTGCATACCAGAATGAACGCATACCAAAAATCTATCAAAGACAAAAATACCCAATTATCTGTGGGTGCCCATTCAGGACCCATAGTAAGGGCTGGACTGCACAAATCAGTCCTTCCTCTATTTTTTTGTGCCATCTGTCCATCCCATCCATTGCCAATTTTATAGCAGGAGACAGTTCAGAATGTATCATTTTTTGTTTTCTGCTGCATTGATCCTTTTGAAGTTAGTTCAGTGCTTGGACATCCTGCAAACACTTCTTACTTAGCTGAAAGTTTCCATTGCAGTTTGACCTATTTCATCTGTTTTAAAAATTAATCTGTGCAAGAATCTCTAAGTGCACCACAGAGATTCCTGTCATGACCATGGCCTGCCATGCCCTTTCTCACAGCAAAGTCCTGGGAAGGTGAGGCTGAGTCCCTTCTTTTCTTGAAAGCAATATGAAAATAAACATTTTTCCAGCAAGTGAACCTTGTATTGGGCTATTTAAACAGCTAAGCTAATATGACAAGCATCTGGAAAAGGTATATTATTACTTGTACCCACCTCCGTTCCACCAGGAGTTCGCGCACTGCCTTCGCCCGGACCCGATATCTTGTACACCCGGACTTCATTGGTACAGCCCAGGATTTGCCCCGCCTGGTATAAAGGGAGACCCCAGAACTCGCCTGCCATGCCTTTGATGACTCTTTCAGTGGGGGGTCTTCCCTCGGGGCATCCCCCGGTGCTGGCGCGCTTCTTTGCGGGAACTCTCGGGGCTCCGTCCTCCCCTACACCCGGGCCATACGCCCCCCTCAGGTCTTCCTATCCTGGCCCCCAATCCGTCCTCGTCTCGCT